GAGAGAGAGAGAGAGAGAGAGAGAGAGAGAGAGAGAGAGAGAGAGAGGGAGGGAGAAAAAACGGCAACAAATTAACGACAAAACAAAAGTAAAACCGAATTATTCTTGCGTAAATCATGGTTCGATACGATTATTCTGTGCGATGAAATCGAAAGGGTTGAAAAAATAAATTTGATGTAATTTTTTCGCTGTTTGAATACACCTGTCGCAATATATTTAAACCCTTCAAGTGTGCTTGATTTTTCGGAGACCGTGTTTCGAACTGAAAATCGGTGAAATCTGGCAGAAATGAAAAGCAAAGATAAAACACAACTATTTTTGACACATTCATTACAATGGCAATGAAAAGGAAAAGTGGAGAATGAAAACGAAACAATACGTACCCCAAAATGTAATGTATGGTTTTTACGCTTCAATATTCCTTAAATGATTTTTATTTGAACGTGTAGCATTCTGGAATTCGTGATTCGCCAGTTTTTCTATTAGTTCAAACGAAAGAGTTGAATAGAAGCATAAAATGCACATCAATTATGTAACTAGAGATTCAGCACTACTGAACAATGAGCGACGAATAAATGAGTGTAGCATATACAATTTTTTTTAGATAGACAAAAAGATATATTTGTGACGAACATGGAGAAAGAGGTGGTTGTGTCCCAACGTTACACGAACAACGATATAAAATTAGAAAGAAAAAAAAGAATGAAATGGAACGTGAAAACACTGATGATGGCAAAAAAGTTTTTTGTTCCATAAATCAGCAATAATTATGTATATACATTTTTTTGACAAAGAAAAATATATCATTCAGCCGAATCAGAAAAAAAAGAAGAAGGAAGAATAGGGTGAAAACGAGTAAGCGACGATGAAAACGGTGTTCTTATATCTTGTTTCTCAGAAAAGTGAGAAGTTTTCAATTTAATCTGGTTTCCAAACCGTAACCATTCACAATTCCCTTTCATTCATTCACACTGTGGCTCACTTGTTCGTTTCGTATCAGAGATCATATAACTGACTATGTTTTATTGCACACAGAAAATCATGTTAGTAAAATTAAAAAAAAGATTGAAATTTAGTGACACTTGCATGAGATAGCTAGTTGGTCTATCACGAGACATGTTTGTAATTTCATAATTTGCTAACACAATAAAACAATTTGACTAATGGTGTTTTGTGTGTGCGGGTGCGCATGCATTTTTTTGGTGTATGTGTGTGTTTGGTGTCACTTTGCATTGTCCTGTCTTGGTGAACATTTTGAGAAGTACATTTAATCTGATTAAATCATGAGGTAAGTAGCGCTCGGGAAATTGTTGTGTACTGGTTGAGTGTCGCGCAAATTATGCTGAGCTCGACAAATCTGATCTTATCTGGAACGTGTTTATGTTTCCCACTTTTTTCTTTCTTTTTATATTAATGTGTTGCTTCCTTGGCGTACAAAAAAAATAATCTTATAGTTATTTCAATTCAGGATGGAGAGGTGAAGGTATAAATTGCTGAGTGCTTTTACCAGTTCCGGAAAACTTTTTTAATTAGCCATTTCCTATTCTATTTTTTCTCTCTTGTTCCAATCGAGATCGAGAGAGAGAGAGAGAGAGAGAGAGAGAGGAGGTGTACTTACCTCGTCTTTAATAAATTCAAGTTAGTGGTCATTACGTGTTTTGTAGTTTAAAAACTAGAGTCGTGTCTCATTATTTATCAAATTGAAGTGAAGCCAAACCGTTGAAAATTTATCACATAGCATCATTTTAATGAGCTAAACGAAAATCGGTTCTCGATATGCGTGCAAATATCGAAAGCGGATGAAAGAAATATATCCATCGTATATAATTTTTTTTTTTTCGTTTGGCTCATTTTTCTCCTTATTATTTGTTTCCGTTGCGGTTTTAAGGTTTGTTATATTACACAAATGTTACACGAGCAAACATAAAGATCCATGGCGAAAAATTGCCCATAAATTTAACTTTTTTTGAGTAAATTACAAAAATGTAATAAGAGCTCATAATAAAGAGCTGCTTATTCCCTCGAATGGCGCATTTTTATTCTCTCTGCTTCTCTCGTTTCCCCACTTGCTTGCCTCCTTTTTTCGTGTATCTTTTTTACTCGTTTACGTGCAACTGAGCTTCGATTTATAAGTAGTTGTACCTTATAATGCGGAACTGCAAAACACTCTTCGCTCTGTATCCCCCGTTCTATCATTTAGGTGTACAGTGTACACTGCATAGTATGGCGTATACGAAAATCAAACAGCGTATCTTGTCTTAACTTTTTTCTCAATATTTTTATTTATTTATTTTCTATTTGTTGTTGGCGATGCTGCGGATTCTTTTTTTTTTTGCACATACACATACATATATTTTAACTAGAGAAAATGACATCGATAAAAAGTTTTTCGCTAAAAGTGCTCCTGAAGAAAGATGATCGAAACGAATTTACCCAAGATATGGATATTGCTGCGAAGGTCTGTTGGATTAAAGTGTAATACAAACTGTCAATTAAAGTATGAAATACAGCACGAAAATATGATACGCGTATTTACAGCATACTTGGAATCGCTTAAAGTCAGTTATCCATAGCCAAGTGCGAACAAGCTCTTGAACAATGAGGCGCCCAACGATTCGTGCTACCGCTTTTCTCTCTCTCTCTCTCTCTCTCTCTATCTCTCTCTGCCGTATGGAACCGAATGTAAGACCATAATAGAGGAAATCGACCGGCGACAGCCGTGTGTTGAACACACTTTTTCGTGCATGGAATGCGAATCAAAATCAAAATCTGGTCACACACCAGATAAATATATCTGTTCACTCAACATTTTCTACTTCACACACTTACATTTATTGCCTATTGAATCCAACATTTGCAAAGGATGAACAAGATTTTTTTTATTTTCAAAATTCACCGTTGCGAAATGTGAACATCGTTATATGAAAATGGCATTTGGCAGAAACTATTTAATTGTCAGAAGGAACACTCGTTGATTTTATAGTTTTTTATAATTATATTTGTAAGAGAAATTCGTATTTATCTATTGAATAGACGTAGTATTTGAAGATTCCGGATAGGATTTTTTTTAGTCAACGAAACGAATGACTATTATCGTTACTTTTAATAAACGATACAAAATTATACGATAAAAATAGCAAATGGAAGTTGTTACGTTTCCTATGTACTAACAATAAAAGCACTTTGAAATTTAATCAATCGATTAGCATTTGAAAATATACCTTCTGATGTGAGCAGCTGAATTTTACATTGTCGTACAATATGTCAGATAGTGTAATGATTGGATTGGCATCCGTTTACATCAGACATATACATATACGCGCCACGCATATCTTGTCGTCGTGAATCGATTCCTTTTCAATTCGATGCTGTTATCCACGTATTTACAAACAATCAACAAGAATCCGATCAGCTAACGTGTTCCTTCCGGCATACACACACGTTATACGAATCGCAAAAAAACACATTACACAGTGGAAATAACAACATAAAATCACAATAACATTCAAAATAGACGCTATTTTGTTTGTTTCGTTATTGAATGAAAGACAATAAAAATCGCTTATGGCAGACAAATGCCACATCGTTTTACATACAAACAAGAATTTAAAATCAAGGACAATGTTTCCAATTTGTTTTGAACACTTTAAATTCTCGAATTTATTGCAAAATATAAACATTTTTTTTTGTTTAATTTTTTCTATTTATTTTCTTCTTCTTTCTATTCAATTTGAACACTTTTTTTGTGCATTGTCTGAGTATTTTTTTTTTTTTTATTTCAAAATTCTTATGAATTTTAAAAGAACAATAAATTTATTCAACATAAAATTTGTATTGAAAAATAACTAAAATAAATAGCAAAAACATTACAATTTAGTACTTTGGTTCATACTTTGAAATATGAGCGTTGATGAACTCCATGTAGTGTGCTACATTTGTGAATGTGGTGTACTTATCGTTGTCACAACTGCCAGCTTTATTACCACCCGTACTGACAATACCGCGCAATGTGTACGTAGTCTTTTGGCGCACAGTCTGAGGGAAAACGAGACCACCACCTGAAAATTGAATGTTTCAAACGAACGTAATTAACTTAGCTGATTGAAATTTCAAAATAAACAAAAAAAAATCTAACCTGAATCGCCTTGACACACGCTCACCCCAGTCAAATGACCTGTTAAATAAAAAAATAAACATAATCGTTTAATATAAATGAAACAGCAGCTCGAAATGATAAGCAAGAATAAAAATAAGAAAGAAATCGGTAAACTATTCCTAACATTACCCGCGCAAAATTTATCACTCGTAATAAAGTTGGCAAATTCAGGTGATGACTTGTCTTTACATTCCTCTCGGCTAACAACTGGCAATTCAATTTTTTTTAGAACTGGGCTCGGTTGTCCATTTGACGCTTCCAGTCCCCAACCAGCAGTGAAACCTGGTGCATAAATAAACAAAAATAAAAATAAATGTACTGCATAAAATCTTGCAGGAAATAGCATACCTCTCCAGCCGGGTTCCACGTTCTTATCGGCATATTGTAGATTTTGTGGCAAGCATATTGGCACAATAAATGAATGGAATTCAATATGCTTATCAACTACCAATAACGCAATATCATTAGCATAAGAACCAGCTAGATCATTATAGCCATCAATGTAAAAAATGTGCTCAATAACAAAGAATTGCGGTTTATGATCTTCACGGACGGAAAAGTCTCGTAATGTTTTTCCAACGGCCACCAGAAATGCGTCCGCTCGAAATGGTCTGTCTTCACTTGCATCCCAAAAACAATGCTGCAATAATTTTAAAATGAACTTTGATTGGATTTTGTTCACATTTAAATTATTTAATAAAATACTATATAATTTTGTTTTCCACTCCGATTTTATACAGCGCATTTAATTTGACATGATTGTTCGCTGTAAAAAATTGTTTGGCACTCTTATCTGCACAATTTTTATCAGCGAAAAAAAAACGATGCACTTATTATTACAATTGCGCGAAAAGAATTAAAATTGAAAAAATATTTTGAATTTCATTCGACTCGGTGTAAACAACAACAAAAGGGATCAAATAGCAGTCGAATAAAATTGAAAGTTTAATTTTTCGTTTGATATCTGGATTTTGACTAGGTCAATTGGAATTGTTATTTACCATTGCCGAAATAATGACTTTCGAAGTGATAATTGTTCCACCACATATCTGTGAATATTTGCCATCATAACTGTTCTTCCGGTAAATGCCAGCATGCCATGGAATTCGTGAAATAGTTGTTACACTACCTCCGACTATATATGCAGTGCCTTCATTAATTTCTCCGCAAATCTGTGTACATCGCTGCGGTGTTGGTGACCAGCGTCCATCTTCTCGGCAAGTCAATGTTTGCTGCGGTCCGATTTTTTCATAACCACGTTGACAACTCACATATGCAAGGGTTCCAGGTTCGACTGGTCGAACACATGACGTCGACTTTTGTGTGTTGTTCACAATTGAAAAGCAATTTGCCGATATTGTAACACCTTGAATTTCAGACGCACTACATCTCGGTTTGCATTGTGGTTTTTGTGATTGCCAACGACCTCCGATGCATATGTTTGTTCCGTTTCCAATCAATTCATGATTTTCAATGCATTTATAATTTATACTGACAAAATTTTCCACAATTTCACCATACAAAACTTTCTTTGTCGTATCATATTGATAATATGCGTCGCCATTCACTGGAATATTATCAGCACGACACGAGTCAATGTTTGACGTTGGTGCAAATGTGGTCGACATTTGAAATGTATTTACTGGCCTTTGCGATGTATTCACCTGAACAACCGGAGGTCGGATTGATAGACTCTCATTTTTCCTTTTACCGCACAATGCCCAGTTTTCGTCACTACCATCCAGGATACAATCGATGCGATTATCGCACTTTTTCTTGCCACTAATGCATCCACCTACAGTGGTTTCGATAATAAATTATTAATGTTCATTGGAATAACATCGATATTTTTTTGTTATATTCTTACCGGTTCCACATCTAAATGCATACGATGGACAATGTGTGCTCGCACAATATCTAACTGATTCATCAGACGAATCGCTACATTCTGGAGCCCCGTCACACAAATATTCTACATTTATGCAATCTCCATTATCACATTGAAAACTATTTCTATTACATGAACCTTGTAATTGTTCCTGAGTTTTTGTTGGACATTTTTCCGTTGCTTCATCGGATCCATCTAAGCATTCAATCTTTCGATTGCATTCAGCATTACCAGCAACACAAGCTCCATAGTTACATCGGAACGCATATCTTGGACACGTTGTGGCAATACAATTGTCGGTTGTTTCATCGCTCCCGTCACTAATTTATTAAATAAACCAAATGGACATTATTTTCGTATTTACAAATGAGAAGTTTTTTTTTTATCAAATAAAGAAAATTCCGATAACAAACCTGCAATTTGCTATGCCGTCGCATACTTCCGACGAATCAATACACTGTCCATTGTCGCATTTCCATTCGAATGCGGTGCACTGTATCGTTCGTGGAACGAAACTATTACGATTTGCAACTCTTGCGGCTGTAAATAAAGGGGCAGAAAAAGAAATTAATATGGATGAGTTACAAACCAATGATCATTTTAACAGAGAAAATAACATGTTTTGCGGCTACATCTCAGGTCTATATCAAGTACAAGTCAATAGTTTAAATATATTTTATTAAGAAGACGAAATTGAGACGGTGAAGTGATTGTCAATATTGCTGACCTTTGGTTTTTTTTAGAAAACAAACACGTCACTACTATAGCTCTTATCATTTTTGTGATTATTATTCGAAATGAAAGAAAACACATGTCATCATGCACGAAATAAACATTTGAATGCGTTTGAATCGACATGAGTGAAACAAATGAGAAAAAAAGCAATAATTAACCAAAATGTTCCCAATAAACACTTGTCGATAAATTAAAAACAAAACTATAATAAACAAAATCCAAAATCCACTTACATTGAGCGACGGCCAAAATGCTCAGTGAGAAAATTAACGAATTAAATAAATACATGCTAAATTCTTTACACAAAAACAAATGACATGTCTAACTTTCAAAAATTTCACTTTGCAATTATTGATTTGCCGCCAATCAATTGTGCGCTTAATTCTGCTTCACCACAGCGCACAGAATGTAAAACAAATTCCAATGACAATCATCACACTATTTTTCTATGCTCGCTCGAAGACACTAATCTATCAGTTCGAATCATTTGTGATAAACAAAACAAAAAATTATAACAAAATCAAATAGAGACAAAGAGAAAAAAAAGATGAAATAGAAATCTCTATCAGTTTTCACTGTGAAACAACACACTCCGTTCCGATACAAACAACAATAACATGTCGAAGCATTTTGTTTTTGTAACTACAAGCGTACTTTTAATTGTGTATATAATATTAATGGGATTTCCAATTTGTATCGTGGCATTGATTTCAATTCAGTGTCACTAAATTTCATGCCAATACACGATTGAATTCCCAGATGTATTCATAACACGAAACGAAGAAAAAAAAATATTGTCACGAATGTGCGGCAAACACAAGCCCATGCATGTGTATGAGTGTGTATGCGTCACAGATATTTACACAGATTATCAAAGCGTTGCTACATAATTACACTCATGAAACCCAACAAGATTTGAATACGTTTGTTGTCATCATCACCATAGCCATTGCGATAACAGAATCGTCTCAAAACAGTAAACGCTACGCAACACTGACGTTTTGTTTACAGCTAATCAATATGTAAATGAAAAACAGAAGAAGAAGAAGAATGCATGAATGAATGGGACAGAAAATAACTGGTATTATGACGACATTCAATCTGTAGACATATGCACCTCGTGCTAACGACTCATTGTGGTTTGATTTGACATTTTTTAAAAAGTCATCGGTTATCACCGATTCCAACAGATAAATGAAAATTATATTCGAATTTCGGTTCGATTATTATTAATATTTCGAAGTTTTTTTGCCACACAAAAAAGTATTCCATGAAAATATAGCGGTTTTTTTTTAGAAAACGTGTTCTGGCTGTTACAAAAAATTAGATTGCTGACTATGAAATGTTTTTTTTGTGTGGTTTATGTTAATGTTCCATCTGCAAAGGCGAACAACATGTACGAATTTCAACTCAAAACTATAGATTTTGTGTAATTTCTTTTCACAGAATATGATTAAATTATGTATACGATGCGATTCAATGGCCAAATTATTCATTACAGCACACCAAAGGAAATTCCATCGAAAATTTGTATTATACATTTTGCATGGAGTTTTTTTCTTCTCAGTAGTATCGCCCAAGCCAAATTATTAATAAAATCATCGACGTGAAATCATAACCAATTAATTACAGCGGGATTTTGTTCTGGAGATTGCTGATCGGTTCTCATTTGTTTGGCTTTAATTTGTGTGAAATCAAAGAATACAAAAAAAAACATACAGCGAACAAGCGGCATCAATACAAAATGAATCGAAATCAGGCATTTGCATTTGTAAACTTTGTAAAAAGCCTCTTAATATTCATTCGTCGAATAATTTCATTTGTATCTCATCTTCATCACAAAAATTCACAGTGCTGCGCTGCCATTTTTTTATCATTTGAAATTCTCATTTTTAAAAAAAATTGCTGTTGAAAATTATTCAAGAAAAAAAGGAGAGAGAGAGAGAGAGAGAGAGAAAGAAATAAAAGGAGTGAGTGTGTGTGAAAGAAATAATTTGATGCATTTGTCGACTAACGAATGGTCGAGAGAAGAATAATAATTTATGGTGCAGCCAGCAAGGCAGCCAACCTCAATTATAAATTTTCTTTAATAATATTCCTTTTAATTAGTTTTGGACAAGTAAGGTCACGCTGATTGCCCCGTTTCCCTCACTTCACACATCGATGTGGCGTGTATTGATTCAGCGCAAGTACAATTTTCTTCGTGTGTTGCTATCTCCAGGATATGCTTATTTTTTTCTTCGCATATAGTCCACCCTTTCGATTGCATAATTAAAGTCTTGGATATATTTTTTTTAACTTTGCTTCTATCTGCTTGCGTTTTCTTTTCTTGTACACTTGAAATAAATCGATCAAGATTAAAAGCGTACAATGTGAAAGATTTCAAAACTTTTAATTGCTTTACTGTGTTAGAATATGAATAAAAAATGGTACTATTCTCTTTTTTTTCTATGAATTCCTGATTTAATTGTAATTCAATGCGTTTGAATCAATCAACGCACGTCCATCATGGATAAGTGTAATGTCCAAAGAATTAAAAAAAAAACAACAACAACATATAATTAAAAGTAGAACAGTCAGTTGTTCATCGTTATATGAATGGGATTATGATCACCTTTTAATTCATCGTCGTTTAATGAATTCATTATGAGATTTCGTCATTTGTTTGGTGAATTGTTTGTAAATTTGACTGTTTTCTTGTTCTTTTAAAAACCGAAAAATCCTATGCAAACTCCTCCCTTGGCATAAAGAAAGCGTAACAAATTATCATCTTCACGTAAGTGAAACGATGTTCCAATTACGGCTATCATACCATCATCATCACCGCCGCAGCCAACACACCAACTTTTATCCATCAAATAATTACTACTTTGTTAAACAGCAAAAATGTGAAAACATTTGCAACAAGAGGCGCAATTTTTCTCTATCCCTACCGTGAACGAGAAAGAGATTTCCACCAAAAAAATTTTGAAAGCAAACACCGACCATAAGATAAAACGATAAGAGCAGAAGACACACACATACACAATCAAATACGTACCTTGGGTTGATTTTGCTTGTGCTAACGCAGCCTGATGTTTGTCTAAATCATATTAATTTTTTATGTCCGCACGTAATTCGACGAAGCATCATGTTTTTAAAATGATGATTATGTTATTAGACCGACGAATTGCGTGGCGCCCGCCGACAACGACGGTGACGACGAAAGCGACGACAGCCGAAAAAAAAACACAAAATATAAACACCACGAGCACGACGAACAGTAATAAAACGTTTATAATTAATTTAAGGTGATTTTTTTCCTTTCTGTTTGTAGCTTAGATAATATGTTTGATTAGCAACTCGAATGCTAGCTTTGTGAGAAACGAGGGCGACTGAGTTTTCGTTTTGATATTCCTTTGTTGAAAGAAAACAGCACCAACCAGGAGTTAGAACAACAACAACAACAAAAACAACAACAACAGATTCATCAAATTGCACGAAATTTATTCATAAAATAATACATGGCCAAAGAGGAGAGAAGAGAGCAATATAAAATGTGAATAATTCGAATGAGTGCCGCTTTCTACGCTCTGTTTGTCTTTATTTCAATGTACAGCGCCGGATTTTCACGGAAATTGTTACTTTGGTTTATGGTTGAAGATCAAAGTGATTATATCTTATATCGCTTACAAATAGAATATTAGATCTCAGTGAAATCGTTTTTTTAATCAATTATTCAATGATTTTTACCGATTTACCAAAAACTCTCTCCCATTTTTGGCGCTCATCAAACCAAAAGGAAAGTTAATTTTTAAAGGCATACACTTCTTCTGGTTGATATCAATTACAATCATTTTTCTTTGATATTTTGAGTAATTCGGTTCACGGTAACACATCGTGTAGCTAATGCTTCATGTTAGACGAATATTTACACAATACGATTTCGAATACAATTTCGATGGAATTTAAAAATCACCTTCGATTTGACAAAACGCACAAAAAATTCAAGTAAAGATTATCCAATATTGGCTCATGATTTGGTGTATTTGTTTTGATTCTGGCCTCGTGAATGAATGATTGGTGTTATAAAAGTATGCTTTTACAAAATGTTGAGACTACCGCATTTACCCCCTATTTTCTTCTTCACTTCGACGAGAAAAAAAAATTTCCGTATTTTTATTTTATGTAAATGAACACTTAGCAAACAGTTCGAATGGAACGATATGTACGAAGACAACGATAAAACAAACGAAAGAATCAAAAGTAAAAGAACAAATATTTTAATTCGGTGTGTTTACAACTCCTTGAAGAGTTCACCTTTATTTAAATATTCGCTGTTCGTTTACTGTCTCTCATCGTGTTGTTGTCGACAACGTCTCTCTTTTTTCTCTCTTTCTCCATTTTCTTCATTTTCCTTTACATTTATTCACTCCATGTAGTCGTTGTTGTTTCGATCGACAGGAAAGAACGCCATAGAAAATTTTCCACACAGATTGAAAGTCAAACAAAGATGAAAAAAAGCATGCAGCAAAAAAAAACGTAAAATACTTTAACATTTATACAAAACGGAACATAGAAATGTCGGATTTTCATTCTTTCTCAACCTCTCCCTATTGCGGGGCTGGCATCTCTTTACCTCTGTCGTAGTATAGATAATTATGCTGGCAAAAACCAAGAGTTTTATGTGCGCACGGTAAAATCACTTGTGTATACATCGCCTTGAGTTTTGAGTTCGGCGATCAAACAATGATGCGAGATTTTGTGCAAGTATAATGAGAAAGAAAAAGATGGAGACACTATGATGGTAAGAAGTTTTATACGTTCAAAATTTGCATGTTGTGGATTGTGAACAATTTGAAATTGTCTTTCAATTTTCGTCGTTGGCTGAGCATACTTTCCAGTATTTTCGACATTTGTATTGTTGCATGGAGCACGAGTAAACGGCTACTCAAAACCACCGCATCGGTATTCATATATATTATTGAATTAGTGAAAGAGTGGAAAAAATGAACAAAAACACAAACACACACTTGAGCATTAAATCAAGAGAACGAGAGAGAATCAAACAGAAACGAGAAAAGGGCATTTGTAAACGCTGATTCAAGCCAAACGTTTCGTGAGTTTTGTGTTCAATTTGCATTTTAATTGCTTTCAGACGCGAAATATCGCATTCGATGCGAATGGAAAATGTGGTGCAGCACAACAATAAAAACCAGCAAAGAGATTATTGGAGAAAATGAAGCCAAATTCATTGTACCAGCTCTCTCATCTACGATGCAATTTCATTTTGATTTCTTAATGACTCGATTGTTTTCTATCGTGATGACAATCTCTAAGACATTTCATATACAATGAAACTATCTTACGCGGCCTCTTCGATTACCGGCATTAGATGGCTGGTTTCCATTTGTCATTCGTTTTATTGCAAGCGAATAAACACACACTGTAAAGTATGACGCGCGTCACCAATACATTCATGCTAGTAAATTCAACTATAGGTAAACTACCACCACATACAATGGTCAGAGTGACAGTTACATTATGTAGTCATTGTGTCAGTAGTCAGTGAATTCGATACATACGCAGCAGAGCATTTGAATAAACGTCATGGAGAAAAAACCAACTGTTAAATCGGATATTTTTACATGGCGAACTGAAGATTTACCAGAATACCGTAAACTTCTTGAACTGTCGCCAAATGGAATCTCAGGTCTGCATTTTTATTTACTCTTTTTTTTTCTTCATATAATCATTTCCCTTCTATTGGTATCGTTTTTTATTTCTAAAACAGATAAATTGGTATCCATCTTAGGCAATGGCGACGTTGATGTATCCGATATGCGAATGCAATGCGAATATTGTGACCAAACATTTACGCTCACCGATTTTGATGAACATACATGTGATTACAGTGATCGAGAAACGTTTGTGTTCGATGACCAAATGATGGAATTTTTATGGGAAACATCACTGTGTAAAATGTATACGGAGAATAATAAAATGATTCAGCAAATTTTGAATCAAAATGATAATGACACGGCGAATCGATCAAAGGATGCCAAACGATCAGTGGTTGAAGCGCACCACGTATGCGGCGTTTGTCATCGAATGTATGTCCATGCATCGGGTAAATAGATTCATCATTCATTGTTATTTCATTTCCGTTGAAATCGTTTTTTGCTTCACTCATCTAAGTATGTCTTTTTCATTTAAAAAATTTTTTGTTAAAGGTTTGTCGCGTCACATGGAAACGCAGCACATCAAATCCATTATGCCACACACCAGTTCCATTGATCAAGTGGATAATTGTGACGAAACATTGGCTGAAGTGATAAAATGTTTAATTTGTGGTCGAATTTTCAATTCAGTATCGATGTGTTTTGCACATTTGAAGTCGACACACACCGAATATGGTTTTGATGAAAGTGAACAATGTTTGGAAGCAAGTGATTCACAACACTTTGAAAAATTAAAATTGGTACAGGCGTATCAGTGTGAATTTTGTGACTATTTATTCGCCGATACAAATGGTTTACATCTACACGTCAAATCGGCACATGACATCAATACGGGCTATGAATGCAGGTGAAAAAAAATTCTGTCTTATATTTTTGTTTTATTTCTTTTAACTCATGTTCTCATTTATACTATGGAATGCAGCTTTTGTCAACTGGCCAGCCGGAATTTGAAATTTATCTTAAATCATCGAAGCAACGAGTGCCCATACGAAATATACGAAAATAATCCAAAAATCAATTGCAAAATTCAATTTGTATGCAGCGAATGTGATTTGACTTTTTGTGGATTGATAGAATTGTATGAACATCGGTAAGAAATTTCCATTGGCTACTTTGTTCGACACATTTTTCGATCAAATATCATTACCGAATTATATTTTAACAATTTTTGATTTTCTTCAAATCAACAACAACAGGCATTCGCAAAATCATTTTCAATCGTTGTACAATAAATTATCGAAACAAAATGAGTTTTTTTGTGAAAAATGTGGTCAAATCTGTGGCACAGACACGAAGGCATTAGAGACGCACATCGAAACGATTCACATGAAAAAGGGAAAACTACCAGTAACATCAACAGTTCGACCGTATTTATGCGAGGTTTGTGGTAAAGGCTACACTCAATCAAGTCACCTCTATCAGCATCTTCGCTTTCACAAAGGTAAATTCAATAGAATTTAAATCGTTGATACAAAGTGTATAACTTTTTGTGACATCTTTAGGTATAAAACCATTCGAATGCACAAAAGATGGTTGTAATCGTAAATTCACCATTCGTCCGGATTTGAACGACCATGTACGAAAGGTATGGAATTATGAAAATTTATACAAAATACAAATGGCATATATAAATACGAATGATATTTTCATATTTAAGGCACACACCGGAGAACGTCCGTACAAATGTTTGGATTGTCAGAAAACATTTTTGACTGGTTCGGTGTACTATCAACATCGGTTAATTCATCGTAATGAAAGACGGTATGGATGTAGTACGTGTGAGAAGCGTTTTCATCGATCGGATGCATTAAAAAATCATGAAAGGATTCATAGCGGTGAAAAACCATATGCGTGTGGTGCATGTGCAAAGACATTCCGTCAAAAAGGCGATCGTGACAAACATTTTCGTTCGCGTCATCAAAATGGGTAAATTTCATTTTCTCTTCTTACTCGATTCGAAGAATCAGACTTTTTTTTTCTCAACAATTTCAGTTTGATGAATGGTACGAATGGCAATCGTGAAGGAAGTTCGGGCAATTTTTTAATGGGTTTATAACAGATGTGACCATTCATCAAAGAAGTCAATGACGTCGATGTCCTGACCATATACAAGAATTGAATTCAAATTATTAAAATGATTTTATTGCCAGTTTTCATTCATTTCTTGACACTTTAATTTTATTCAGAAAAATGTGTTTGTTATTTAGTATTTGATTAATATAATAATTTATGAGACCCAGATATTAGAATATGGATTGTGCGCTAAAGCTAAAATTACGAAGAAAAGACATTTTATTGAATTGTTTCCCTTTTTCGTTGACGTAAACACAGTTGCATAGCAAATAAAAAATACGACAAGATGAATATTTTATGTTTTCCACATTGTCACTTTATTAGCAATGATGTCTGTGTTAATTAAATTGGTTCACTAGACAACAAATCCACTAGATAACCTCATTGAGTTGATAGACTGCGTTGTTGATATTTGTCGGTTACAACGAAATGACAAATGAATAGATATATCCCGGGAAAATGTATATCGTATTTAATGTGAACGTAAATAAATCAAGCAAAAATCTCTTGGCTGTGCGTCGGCTGTACACTACTGTTATGAGAATGTTAAAATAAAACCAAGAATAACACAGTGAATAAAAGTTTTTCTGATTGTTACTTGTTCGAATTAATTCCCACTGGAATTCAAATAAAATTACAATTCAATTAAATGCGTTCCCATCGAAAAGTTGTTGTCGACATACAATCACAGCAAAGCTATGCCAAGAAAGTATAAAAGAAACGGTGTCGATGTGATTTTGCATAGAGCATGGAATGAAATGCTAACTTATGGCAAATGACTGAGTGCAGCGGTTCATTAGACTGAATAATAACACAATAAAACCTTGAACATGAATAAAATACCTTTAAATGCAGACGCACATAACTTTTGGTGGAAATACCATTCGGAAATAATTTTACTCTCAATTGACTCTTTTTTTTCATAAGTCCCATTTATAATGCACAAATATCATATATTTTAGAGAAACACTTGTCTCTAAACCGAAACAAAAATATTTGTGAACACAGAAAATATTAGGTATGCATTATTAAATGCAGGTTTTTACTTATTTAATTTCTTTTATTAGTTCAATTGTGCAGATTTTGTCGACGCCGCAGATTTTCAACAGTAGTTACTTTCTTCAGTATGTCTCATACCTATATTATCAAATTGCAAGTAAAATGACCTTTAAATCGTATTTTTGTCATTCCAAGGATGTTTTATTATTATTAATTTGAGCATCCGCTCATAAAAAAGTCATCCGCTCAAAAATATTGGTTGTCACTTTGCGTTTATATGTATATATACAGGTGCGTACTTAACGAAATAAATATATCTAAGAATAGAAAAGGAAAACGAAATAATTCATTCAGTTCAACAACTGTGTACTACATGTCATTCATCGTAATAGATTTCTGAGAATCACTTATTTGTTGTGTGTTGCGATTGCGAATGTAGTTCATGCGATTCAGTTTTATGCCAAACGACAAAGAAATTCAAATTCCACGAAAATCTATTAAATTTAATCGTATGTTACGGATTTCAACACGCCATCAAAAAATGTTTTGTGTTTCATAAAATGTTTTGGGCCAATGTGAAGCCATAGTTCGACCAAATGAAAACCCGTTCACCAAATCAACAGAAACAACGAAGCGCATCATTCGTTTGAATATTCGTTACCACACGCATAAATTGTATTTTTACAGTTGGAAGACAGGAGCTGTATAGCTTTAAATATATATTTTCGAAAAATGGCTCGTTTCATCAACAACAATATAACTGAGGTAAATCTTGAATTACGTTTATTTGCTCATTTCCATTTGTTAGTGAGTCGAGCCATTTTTCACTCGAACCGAAAGACAGAAACATCACAAATTGAAAATAAAATAAACAAAAAAGGGAATATATTCATTTCGTTCTAATAATAGCGTACGTTGTATTCGAAATGTTTTATTTTGATTGTTGATAGTTTTGTATCCGAACGGTTTGAACGTACAGGTCGTACACATGATACATGTACAAAATTGTATAGAAATGAATCGAAGTAACGGTGGGCGGCTGCCACACCAATTTCAAATGTTCATAATTCAATGTATTTCCGAAACATTTTAAATGTCATATTGAATTACATTTAAAATTGATTGCAATAAAATATATATTGGATGACATGTGAACGTATGAATACTTGATTGTGTAAGCATTGCAACTCTCCGATCACCTGTGTCAACCTTGGATGTGGAGCCAAGCCAACAAGGACATTGAATGCCATTTCATTATAAATTAGCTAGAAATGGGTCGACAAATTCGAAATCAGTACATAACTTCTATCGCTCTTCATTCATCGTAAAACTAGTGCTCTCACAAACACTCTCATACATAGCAACATTAAATGTTAAAAAAAGGCGCCATTTCGCAAATGCTATACTATTGGTGTGTTTATCATTTCTCATTCCTTTTGTACAAAATTAAATATTCTATACATGTATGCAGTAGTTTGAGATGTGAGTTTTTCCCTTTCAATTTTCAGTTTTTAATAAATTATCTCAACAATACATATATATATTTTCGAACAACAAGACGTCTTTTATCTTCAACCATACCTGAAAGATTTTCGCATTGTTTTTATTTATGAATATTGGCGAAAAGCAATAAAACAAAAACATCAAATAGACACAATAGAAAAAGTGTAATATCATGTGTTTGCAAAAAAAGAAAAAGAAAATCTGATGCCAAAGAGAAAAAGCAAGAATATGGACAAGCGACGAGGGTAGCACAACAATGGCTGTGCCAAAAAATTCATAGTTTATGCATCGGCTTTTTGTTTGTGCTGCATAGCATGAGTGGCACAAACTCGTGTATAATTTAAACCATTTCAAAAATGTTGTCTCAGGCATTTTTGGTTTTAGAGCTGTGCAAATTCCGCGAGCCATATTTGCAAATGCACGCGCGAGAATGTGTCTGCACACAAAAAAATTGTGAGGGTAAACTTATTTAACTTACCATATTTAGTCCATTGGATTTTTAGACCATATTTCTTCTAGGTTGGTGCGATTGTGTCACATTGAAATAATTTCAGATAACAGATTTTTTTTTCAGTGTGAAAAAGGATTCGCATAGGTTACGTAGCCAAAGTTGGTATTGCATTGAAATTTAAATTTCATTGATTTCATTCTTTTGTGATTCCCCTAGGTGGCCAACGAATTAATGGTTGTTGCTCTGAGTGCTGATTGCATAGCTTAAAAACCTTACCACCATTGACTAACACCGTTGACTAACAACGATAACAAAATAAAAAGCAAGAAAAAAAACATTCATAAATTGTGAGTATCGTTGAACCAAAAAACACCTAACGCCGCCAGCTTCAGTCAATGAACATAAAGCTATTCTTTGTTGTTGTTTTTTTCTCGTTGTTTTTATTCGCTTTCTAACGAATCGAAAAGTGGCATAGAAAATTGGAAGAAAAATTCCGAGCAAATAGCCATCCATTAAGCACAACTATTGTTCTATATCTGTGTATGTTTTGCTTTTATCGCTTGTGCAACAATTTGGCTTTGTGTAATCTTGTCCTTGTATGCACTCCACATCTCTCAACTCACTCTCGGTTGTCTCAATTTCAATGAAGCTGCAGCTGGTAGTCGCCACAAGTGGAAAATATGCTTGAATGTTGCCTATTTTATGTTTTTACTCTTTTCTACCTCCCCCCTTCCTCCATATCTATTTCCTTCATAGTTCATAATTAATTTTCTTTTTGAATTGATTTTATCAGTGGCAGTGCTATCTATAGCGCAAATACAGCGCGTCTCCAATATATATAAACGCAATCGCGTGATATGATCAGAGAATGAAAGTGTTCGCAAGCAGACTCTAACAAACATATCTAAAAGTTTTGTCTACATGATAAATGCCGTGTTTAATCGTAAAATAAGCATCAGATGAAATGCTTCGTTTGCGCCATGTCGCCTATTGTCACTTTGTCTCAATTGCATTCGTTTATTTTCACTCTATTTTATGCTCATCTGTTTTGCTCTCAATCTCTCTCTCTCTTTTCTATTTAACTCTCAGTGTTTCAACTTTTTCACTTCAATCATGAGCGCGCACACGCACACGGTTCATTATTCTACACGCTCCATCTACGTCTTGCATGCAAGCAGCCGACGAAATGAGCCAATCTCCGACTATTTTTGCAATTCTAATTCTAATTCAACGATGACACAGGTGTTTCATGCATTATTTAATCACTACAAAGACACAAAGTTTCGTAACATTTTCATTATTATTTCGTTTCAACAGTTTTCGTCACACCAACACTACAACTATCTAGAATAATGTGCACATTGGTTGAGACGCTGTAATGTGTTGCATATGTGCGGTGGCACATTTTTTGTCAAACAACATTTTTTTTTTTTGCAAAATTGTTGGACGAGATAAAAGTCAAAATATGCATAAGATAGCGCTAATATGATGAAGATGTTATAAAACAACATTTTTGGTTAAAGTCTGAACAGTTCATTCTCATTGACTAAAAGCAAAGCGAAATTCTTGATACATTTAATAGTTCACCCGAAGTAGTTTATTTTAGTTATTTTTTGTTTTCGTTACGTAGAAAATGTGGCTGCGAAAAGAAAAAGCATTTGCTCATAAATAATGTTTAATTGGATTTTAACGCGAATAAATGCGGTTGAACAATAAACAGATACCGATGGCCGTCATTCACACCATCCTTTTTCACTCTCTACCCCTTCTCGGTCCAATTTTCTCTCTTCATCATTCATTCGATATATTTTGAGCTCGTTCAATAGCATCGAAAGTCAAGTATAGTACAATAATTCGCGTGTTAATTTAAGACGAAACAAAATGAATAAACATAAAAAAGAACGATCTCATCGTCTATTTTATGACGATACGTACCTTTACAATTTTAGCCAATTTTAACATTCACAAAATTACCGTGCTCGAGTAAATTTTATCTCCACACACGTTTAGTTGAAATTCGTGTACATGGAATGGTCCAAAACAATATTTCGAAATATTTTACCAGCATCTATTTTCCATATATTTTAATATTGAATTCAAAAACTGTAACTAAAACAATTCTTATGCATGTGATCGCATGCATGATGTTTAATTTATAATCAACATATGAAAAATAGAAATGGCGTTAAAAATAGCGAAGATGAAAATATCATAAAACCACCAGTGGTCGAATCTGGGGTCTAATAAATGCAATGGCGCAAACATGCATCCGAAATTGGTTTTCATGGTTTTATTTTCCTTTTTTGAATTTATATGGCACATTAAGTGTGCTAATGTC